GGATGTTCATCCCTTTATTAAATAAAAAGAGAGAGAGACAAATGGGGTTTAACGTCCACTCGACACAAACTAGGTCATTTCGAGACTAACATATGGTGTTAATCTTATTTCAATAATTCGCTTGCGCGTAGGGGTCTTTAGCAGTGGGAGGAAACCGGAGGACCCGAAGAAAACCCACGAGGTTGGACAGAAGACCCAACAGTCCTACCTTGTTAAAGAATAATCCTATTAATCCTATAATTCGCTATTGCCAGCTGAGAAATTGGCAAAAATATCATTTTTAACTTCAAATTCCAACGTTGGAAAATGGCTGCCCCATGTTGTCAATAGTAAAACAGGGGAGGTAATTGTGTTATTTCCTGTGTCATAGATTTTTAAGGGTGGAAAATAATGCCCATGATCGTATAATAGTGATTTGATAACCTATTGAGCAAAAGACATAGAAATAATTATGTTTTGACTTTCTTACAAAATTTGAAAAATTCTCGCTTTAAGATACATAGGCATAGTTTCGAAATTGAATACATCGAGAGAGAGAGAGAGGGGGGGGGGGTTAACGTCCACTCGACACAAACTAGGTCATTTCGGGACTAACATATTGTTTTAATTTTATTTCAATAATTCGCTTGCGCGTAGGGGTCTTTAGTAGTGGGAGGAAACCGGAGGACCCGGAGGAAACCCACGAGGCTGGTCAGGCGACCCTACTTCTTGTCACGTACAACCGGGATTTCATCGAGGACAGAGAGAATGATGGCCATTCCCCAATCACTGTTGATCTGAAATGGTTGGCATACACTCAGTCTGCCCTTTAAAATTATATCAAAAGTTGTTCAAAAAATCAGAAATCTGTGGTTGGTGTTGATTCTCATGTAGCGCTCCTGCTATCGGAATAGTTGGCTGTCCTTTTTGTGTGTGTTGAAGGGATAACTCATAATACAAAACATTCGTTCCTGGGTTTGTTTACCTGAAAATTTAAGCGGTATCAAATGGACAATAACAGTCCGATAAATTCTAAACAGGGGGTGTTTATCGATATTGTAGCCCAAAATATTTAACATTTTTCTTGGAATTCTTTCTTTCGACGCGATCGATAGTTGACGGTGGTTTTTGGTTTTAATGACGTAAATACCAAAGAAAACAATTTTGACGCAATGAAAATATCCGTGACGTATAAGATAACACTCTCTTTCATTCTTTTAGTTATCAAGCACCTGTTTTATGGAATAATCTACCATTTAGTTTAAGATGTTGTACATCTCTGTATTCTTTTAAAAAAACAACTTAAAACACATTTATTTAATCAGGCTTTTAACTGACTCTGTATACAATCGTTAACAAGCCCATAATCTTGTTGTTTATGTGTGATTTACATTGTCACTTTGTAAAGTGCCCCTGAACATTGGCTCTCATCATGACATAAGCGGCCAACATTCCTCACCTGTTGCGTCTCGCGTGAAAAAAAACAACAAACACGTGTATTTTATTATGACTATTCTGTTTAATTTAAACAGTTCTAGGCCCAAGCAAAGAATACAGTGATAAGGATTATTTTTATGGACTTCTTCTTGCAAGTGAAGTACCTATAATTGCGCGATAATCGATATTTTAAAACTGTATCTATAATCGATTTTCAAAACACTTCCCGACGATTATCGGCAATTATCGATTATTTCCGCCAGCCCTATTCGAATCCCTATATGGTTAGCCAGTTGGATCTATATAGTACCGGTACCATCTCTTTTCTCGAAACACGTCTTTATTAGCCCAGGTTAGGAGCAGAACAGTAGGACGTTAAACCCCATTTCATTTCATTTCAAAATTAAAGCTATATTACTCTAGCTTTTAAAGCTATGTTACCTTATATCATCTAAAGTTATATTACCACTTTAAAGCTACATTACCTTAGATCCTTTAAAGCTATATTAATGTAGCTACTTTAAAGCTATATTACCCTGCATTACATACATCTTTTAAAACTATATTACAAATTTAAAGCTATATTACCTTAAATCCTATAAAGCTATATTACATTAGATACTTTAAAGCTATATTACCCCAGATACTTTAAAGCTATATTACCTTAGATACTTTAAAGCTATATTACCTTAGATACTTTCAAGCTATATTACCCCAGATACTTTAAAGCTATATTACCTTAGATACTTTAAAGCTATATTACCTTAGATCCTTTAAAGCTATATTACCTTAGATCATTTAAAGCTATATTACCTTAGATCCTTTAAAGAAATGAAATGAAATGAAATGAAATGGGGTTTAACGTCCTACTGTTCTGCTCCTAACCTGGGCTAATGAAGACGGGCATACGCCATACAGTGTGCTATGAGGGAAATTTTGCCCGGGCAGCGGCACTATCGCCTACTCTTATATCGAATTCCAACTCAACTGCCAAGGGATCTTTTACGTGCATTCCAATGTATACACGGGACCTCGGTTTTTCGTCTCATCCGAAGGACTAGACAGCTGTCCTTGTCGGGCCCTCCGTCCTGCAGATCCTTTAAAGTTATATTACCTTAGATCCTTTAAAGCTATATTACCTTAAAGCTATATTACCACAGATCCTATAAAGCTAGATCCATTCAGAGTTATATTCATCTAAATACAAACAACACATGGATACACCAAATTAATACAATGGATCAGCGCTGGATTCACCATTCTGCCCCCCACCCAACCCAACACAAGTGACCAGAACTTAGGCAGTGTTATTTCATACACATGAATGTTACTACATCAAACCTAATTTGAACTCGGTGAGTGACAAATAAGGGAGGGGGGGGGGCTTTAGTCATATCTGCGAAGGCTTTAACATTATGACATAGTAAAAGACTGAGGTCGATGTTTGACGAACGTTGAACAAGGCTAACCCAAATTTAAATGAATTTTCTTGGAACATTAATTACACATTTTATACACACCAAATTATCAAATAATTATAGTCTAGGGGCTAAACCTCGAAAAATATGAGTCCAATGGTTAAGGTTCCTCGATTTACCGACAACAAAAAGAAAAATCTATGTCCGGAGATTACTAATGACATCTTTTACTTGAATATAAATGGGTTCAAAGTTATTTTGATTTCACCTCCTAGTAGAACAACATGTTGTAACCAAAATATTGTCGTTGAAGAGGATTCTAATGTGTTTTCTTGATACTCTTTTCGCCAGATTACATCGAATTCTCGGTCGGATGTCAACCCCAACACAAACCCACAATGGATGGAAGGGGCCCCACTGTCCAGAACTTTGAAACTCCGATGGAGGGCCCCAGAGGGCCTACCTCTGCCACTAGTAGATGAAGTCTTCGGTCCGACCAAGCTCACATCACTTTGTCGCAACTGAGATTTTTTTTGGGGGGTGGGGGGGGGGCTGATGTTAGAGTTCCTGAGGCCTGGGCCCCACCATGCCCATTTTTAATCTGGCCCTGCGTTTGATATAAAGTACCTCAAATTAATACATTGGATACAGAGTACACCAAATTAAAGGACAATATTGGTTATAATTTTAACTCAGAGATCATTGCGTAACAAAGATTTGAAAAAAAACCCAGAAGTGACGAAAGCAAAAGGAAAAGATGTGTTATTCTTCTATGTAGCGGACTGAAGCAGCGAGCGATAAGATACACGGGCGAATTTCTGCTCTAAAAGTTGTTATATGAGACTATGATAGGGTATCTGACAATTTATAAAACTAGAAAATTTATGTCACTAGATAAGAGAAAACAAAAAAATAGAAAAAGTTCATGCATTCCCATGTTTGTATTTAGCATAGAAAGAATAAAAACAAGCGAATGTACAGGCTATCAATGAGACTGGTAAAACATTCTACAGACCTGAATAATGGGAATCCCATTGTAGCGCATGCATACTGGCCAAGGGCTCGCTTCTCGCTATGACAGACAACAGTTAAAACTGTTTATGGCATGCTAGGTGGAATCATTAGATTCGTTACCCGATGTTGACACCCCCCGACCACCTCTAGTTACTTGTGCTGCCCAACCTTCAACATGAACAGCACGATCTACATCAAGGACAATTAGATCTAGACATGAAGTTGCAATTACATGTAACAACGTCATCAGAAACCATCCTTCCATCCACCACAACGAGACCTAAAAGAGGCAAAAGCGTCAAGTTGTTCTAATGGATAAGTCATCAGAAACTATCCCTTCATCCACCCCAACGAGACAAGAACAAAAGGGAAAACTGAGACAACAAGGGAGACAGTTGAAAGACTCAGAAACAAATGGACCTGGAATCAAGGTAAGAAAAGAACTCTTTTAATAGTTGTAAAATAAAAATATTTACACAGAAACAAAATAACAAACAGGATATTAACAAAGAACAAATTTTTAATAATTACAGAAATATTTACATAGAAACATTTTGAAAGCTCACGGTAGATTACAATTTGCTCACTTTCTTGTAATTACATAAAAACAAAAAAACATAAGCGGACGATGGATGATTATATTCTTATATTTAATTGTATATGTATTTACGTAGAAATGAAATGGGGTTTAACATCCTACTGTTCTGCTCTTATGCTGGGCTAATGAAGACGGGCATATGCCATACAGTGTGCTATGAGGGAAATTTTGCCCGGGCAGCAGCACTATCGAATTCCAACTGCCAAGGGATCTTTTACGTGCATTCCAATGTATACACGGGACCAAATAACACACTATTTATGGATAACAATTACTGTGGTTTATTTCACTGCGACGTTTCAACAAGATTTCACAAGTCGTTATCAAGCATATAACACAAATAAATAAAATGAAAACAAAATAGCTATATATATATATATACACGAGCAGTGCGAACCCTCCAATGGGATGCAAAATCAGCAAGCATGAGCAACTGTCCCAAGCCGTTAAATAAACAATGTACATAGATGGTTATAAACTGTAATTGGTATAGATAAGTGCAGGAATGAAGCCAGAGGATCAAACAATTATTAGCAGGTATAATGAGTCACGAGCAACTGGTCCTGACTGTAAAAACATATTAAATAAATCTATATATATATATATACAGTAATTAGTTATAGATGAAAGTAATAATAAAAGATGAAAGGACAAGTATTATGGGAAGTGAAACTGAAGCCATAAGCAGTTAATCCTAACAGTGAAGGCAATATGCAGTAAAGCAAATTGTAATTGATTTGAGGAGATATACAAAGTTAAAAGCAATACAAATATTAAAATTAAAGGATAGTTCAGAGACGATGTAAACTACATTTTAATGATGCGATCATACGCTCTTGGAATGTAAATTCCTGGGTCCCTGTTTAGTTTTGGTTCATGCCTGCGTATATTAATAGCTTCATGGGTTCTTCGGTTTTGTTTGTAGTGGCAATTAACAGCTAACTTTTTGACGTTAGTCCACTTCACTCGGTGGCGCGGGTTTTCAAATAGGTGTTCGGCAATGGCAGATTGGTTGGTGGGTGTTTTCGAATTCCAACTGTCAAGGGATCTTTTATGTGCATGCCAATGTGTACACGGGACCTCGGTTTTCCGTCTCATCCGAAGGACTAGACTGCTGTCCTTGTCAGGCCCTCCGTCCTGAATCACTGACAAGGGGGAACCACGCCGGAAGATCTGGATGAACTTTCTCGGCCAATGTAGGGATCGAACACCCAACCTTCATGCTAGTAAGCCAGCGTCTTAGCCACATGATCCCCATATTTACATAGAAACAAAAATATATATATATATATATAAATGATGATCTCTGGTAATAATTATATAAAATATTTACTCAGTATAGGAGAATGCAGATAATCATTTACAAATTACTAACACAATTTTCAAACAATTTCAGAAAGTGGTAAATGAGCCAGAAGTTCCGTAGATGGATGTAGGAGACTTTTGTTGGATGTTGCTGAAAAAATGCCTGCAGTTTTATTTATTTTGGAAGATCTAAGTCAAGTAAAGTCAATCCCCTAATCGAATCTCAACTGTGCCAGGTTTTTATAGGGGGCTATAGGTGGTTGGAGTGCTCAATGGTTAGCATGCACGAGCTGTATCATAAAGTCTGTCATTGAGTCAACTGGCGTGGTTTCGAATCCCTGGTTGTACGTGACAAGGAGTAGGGTCGCCTGTCCACCCTCGTGGGTTTTTTCCGGGTTTCTCCTGTTTCCTCCCACTGCTAAGACCCCTATGCGCAAGCGAATTATTGAAATAAAATGAAAACCTATGTTGGTCCCGAAATGACCTAGTCTGTGTCAAGTGGACGTTAAACCCCTTTTCTCTCTCTCTTTCTCTCTAAGTCAAGTAAAGTCAATCCCCTAATCCAATCACAACTGCGCCAGGTTGGTATTCCTGTGACTAATGTGTAGATGATATGCCTACAGATACTTGTTCCTGAAGCAACGACTACAAGTTTTACAACATTTGGATGTTGCTAGATTGCTTCACAATTCCCGAACTTATAGGTACGTTTTCTCCCTTTACTGCAGACATAGCGCCCTATCAGAGGTTGTGACACAAACACACTCAAATCAAATATAGCGACCTCCACAGAAACCTTGACTTTGAACGAAACTTGAACTTTGCAACTTGATTAACACAGGTAGACATTTGAGCTTGAATGTGCGAGACTTGGTATTCGCTATGATCAAGGAATCTGATAGACGCTCAAGATGGGTGAATACCCAATCAATATTAGTGCAGAGTATTACGTGAAGGCCTTGATAAGATGTAAGGAAATATAGCGAGATCAAGCCTTGAAGATACTGAGATGAGTGAGACGTTATGTTGCAGTAAGCGAATTTTTTCTATCAAAATATCCTTCGACAATCTGATTAAAACACAGATCCTGTTCCGTTTCGTTTTTATAGTTCAAAATTTTGTTTTATTTGTCTTTACTACACTAGAATCTGGAAGAGTTGTTATATAACCCACGATCTGGTTGATGTGAGGGATTATCAATGAAACAGTCTGTTACGGCAAGTTCTTGATGTGGGTAATCCACATGTCATTGGTTAATCATAGGGTCAGAAGCTGCTTGTATGACCCCTGATGCAACCTTCCACTACAACCATTCATATCTTCATTTCACTCTCTTTAAAATTAGCTGGTTTACTGAAAATATATTTTAAGAATAGTTAATTTTTTTAGGATTTTGAACAGTATTGTTTAGATCAAGGAGTTTTGAATCTTGTCCATGTACATCGAAACGATATCCTAGCAATTGGTATGAACGAGAGAGAGAGAAAGAAATGGGGTTTAACGTCCACTCGACACAGACTAGGTCATTTCGGGACTAACATGTTCAATTTTATTGACATAATTTGCTTCCGCATAAGGGTTTTTAGCAGTGGGAGGAAACCGGAGGACCTGGAGAAAACCCACGAGGTTGATCAGACGACCCTACTCCTTGTCACGTACAACCGGGGAATCGAAACCCCGCCAGTTGACTCAATGACAGACCGTATGATAAAGTGCGCGCGTGCTAACCATTCGGCCATCCACCCCCCCCAAAAGATCTTGAAGTCTATACGTGAATGAATTGGAAGCCAATGTAGGGATTTCAAGACAGGGGAGATGTGTGATGATTTGTTTGTTCTGGATATGATCCTGGCAGCTTGTGTACTACCACCTTGTAAACTGTTACAATAATCAATTTTTGATAGGACAAGTGATTGAACTTACATCAAGATCTGGTTTTCTGTTTCTTATCTATTTGTGAAATTGGTTCTGGCTGAGAATTGACATATGTTACACCTCCATCCATTCTGAACATCTGAGACACGCTACCTGTGGAGAAGTATCTCAGACACAGTCAATAGCCATGATATCTATATCACGTGATCTACACATCACGGGTCATGACATTTACTTCAATGGGTCATGAGGTCAACAACACGTTAAATTGTAAACAATAGGTTTATCTTCAGCATTGTGTCCTTTGCACCCATAAAAACTATATAATTCGTACAGTCCCAACGTGTTCTCTCTTCTTCCAATGATTTTTCACAAAAATAACATCTACAACTCATAGAATTGACGTTGTCTTCAATGACAGCGTCTGCAAATGGTAGCTGCCATCTTGGCACTATTTTGTGCGTCGGTCGTGTCTATTTCAGATATACACAATCTATTCTGTTGATGTTTTTATCATTGGGATTGGCTAATAGTTAATTTATTTCAGTTCTAAAACAAATATTTTAAACTTTAACGCAAATTTAGAAAATAGCCAAATTCTGGCTGGGATTACTGAGCAAAATGGACATTCACTGTATACGTGCGAAAAAAAAGCTAGCCACCAATTAATTTTCGTACGTTAGTTACGTATGACCTCCGTCATTAAAATCATCGTCGTCGTCGTCAACATCGTTGTCGCCTTCATGATCAGCACTAACATCCGAACTCAATACCACATCTATCTCTATACTACAAAGATAGGAAATCAAATGAAATGAAGTTCAACGTCCTACTGTTCTGCTCCGACTGGGCTGATGAAGACAATTAATGAAATGAAATGAAGTTCAACGTCCTACTGTTCTGCTCCGACTGGGCTGATGAAGACAATCAATGATATGAAATGAAGTTCAACGTCCTACTGTTCTGCTCCGACTGGGCTATTGAAGACAATCAATGAAATAAACTAGGGTTTAACGTCCTACTGTTTTGCTCCAAACTGGGCTAATGAAGACGGGCATACACCATACAGTGTGCTATGAGGGAAATTTAGCCCAGACAGCGGCACTACGGCCTACTCTTATATCAAATTCCAACTGTCAAGGGATCTTTTACGTGCACGCCAATGTGTACACGGGACCTCGGTTTTTCGTCCCATCTGAACGACTAGACAGCTTTCCTTGTCAGCCCCCCCGACCTGCATCACTGACAACGGAGAACCACGCCGGAAAATCTGGATGAACTTTCTCGGCCAATGCAGGGATCAAACACCAGACCTTCAGGCTAGCGAGCCAGCGTCTTAACCACTTAGCTATGTGATGCCCCAAATGAAATGAAGTTCAACGTCCTACTGTTCTGCTCCGATTGGGCTGATGAAGACGATCAATGAAATGAAATGGGGTCTAATGTCCTACTACTCTGCTCCGACTTGGCTAATGAATAATGAAGATGGGTATACGCCATACAGTGTGCTATGAGGGAAATTTTGTCCGGGCAGCGGCACGATGGCCTACTCTTATACTGAATTCCATCTGCCAAGGGATCTTTTATGTGCACGCCAATGTGTACACGGGGCCTCGTTTTTTCGTCCCAACCGAATAACTAGTCAGCTGTTATTTATCTCTTTTATCCAATTTCTAATTCTGCCTATTGTAGCCTACGTCTTTCTTAAGGCCTGAAATGTTATATGACTTATTAACCATACATTATGGGAGATTAGATAAAAAGCTGGCAGTTCTCACTATAATAGTTAAAAACTAGAGTTGAAATTGATCCACTCTGAACCAAGATTTTAGCGATTGAATTTTCGGCCTAGCCTCGATCATCATTACTAAAGTCGATACGATAAAAATCATATAGTCTTGATTATCCATTTCATGATTAAATTAAAGTCGAGCAGAAAATTGGAACTTAATCCAATAAATATCGCAGGCTAGCGATGCCATTAAGAGTTGATTATGGTCTGGACAAGTTAATTAATGTGTAATTAATAATTTAGATAGCATTTCAGGCCTAAAATAAAACCTGCAATAGGCAGATTTAGCTCTTGCATAATGTATGTTTAATTAAGACATTTATTAACATGAAAAGACCATAATCAACTCTCAATGGCATCTTATGTGTCTGATTTTCATTGGATTTGAATTTGATCTGTTGTTCAACGCCCATAGATGATTAAACGCAAAAAATGGATAATTGAGACTTTGTTAACTATTGTGACAGCGGTAACAATGACAATTGAGGCTACAGCGATTTTAAAATAAGGTTTTCTTGGCTTAGAGTGAAGCAATTTGACTGCAATTTTCAGCACATTCTCTTTACATTATCTAGTTTTTAACTATTATAATGGAACTGACAGTTCTTTAACTAATCTTCTATAAAGGGGGTTGGATGGCGCATTGTATCATTAGGTCTGGCATGGTTTTGATTCTGTGTTTGTACTGAAAAGGAGTAGGGCGCCTGTCTAACCTCGTGAGTTTTCTCTGGGTCCTCCAGTTTCCTTCCACTACTAAAGACCCCTACGCGCAAGCGAATTATTGAAATAAAATTGAATCATATGTTAGTCCCGAAATGACCTAGTTTGGGTTAAGTGGCTGTTAAAACCCATATCTCTCTCCCTCTCTAAACTTACCATGGTACGTCCTCTTCTTGAGTAACATCATCTTGTAAGGGGGTGACTCCTTCAAATGATGTAGACATATCAGGTCTGTTCTTGGTCTCATCTATTTCAGTACTATAAAAACAAAATCATGACAATATCATTACCAGTATGGTTCTGATCTACCCTAATTGCCAAAAGATAGGTTGCCAGGTAACGAAACATACGCAGTCAACAAGAGTTGTCGCATATTTTTACTTTTTTCAGTAATGAAACATTTATAATACATTAAAATCTGATTAAGAGTAACAACTCATTAAGTAATTATCAGAAAACCATTAGAATTTGTTTGGTTTTTATAAAGTTCTGCGCAATGCTAACGTTTAGTATACAAAACTTTTAACATCATGGATTTAGCTGTTCAAGTCATAAAAATTCATTGAAAATCAATATGATTCTTCATCTCATGACCTCTAACACTGTGTATCAATTTAAAGTCAATCGGATATTAACTTTGACCTCTAGAACGTCCACAAGAATTTTTGTAGTGCTCAAGGGCCATAACTCTGGCAGTAATTATCCAAAATCTCTGAAAATGAATAGACTTCTTCATCTCATGACCTTAAACACTGTGTATAAATTTTAACTCAATCAGATATGAACTTTAGCCTCTATAGAGCGTCCAGTAGATTTTTTCCAAGAGATCAAGGGCCATAACTCTGACAGTAATTATCGGAAATCGCTGAAAATCAATAGGCTTCTCCGTCTCATGATCGTAAACACTGTGTATAAATTTAAAGTCAATCTGATATTAACTTTGGCCCCTAGAGCGTCCACAAGATTTTTTGAAGTGATCAAGGGCCATAACTCTGGCAGTAATTATCGGAAATTGCTGAAAATCAATAGGCTTCTGCGTTTCATGACCTTAAACAATGTGTATAAATTTAAAGTCAATCGGATATTAACTTTGACCTCTAGAGTGTCCACAAGAATTTTTTTTGTAGTGATCAAGGGCCATAACTCTGGAAGTAATTATCGGAAATCGCTGAAAATCAATAGGCTTCTTCGTCTCATGACCTTAAAGACTGTGTATAAATTTAAAGTCAATCGGATATTAACTTTGACCTCTAGATCGTCAACAATACTTTTTAAAGTGATAAAGGGCCATAACTCTGGCAGTAATTATCGGAAATTGCTGAAAATCAATAGGCTTCTTCGTCTCATGACCTTAAACACTGTGTATAAATTTCAAGTCATTCGGTTATTAACTTTAGGTTCTAGAGCGTCCACAATCGACGGACGGACGGGGGCGACGACAATATACGACCACATTTCAATGTGGGCGTATAAAAAGAGAAAAATTTATTAGTTGCAGACAGTTATCATGTTGCTCTACAAACAAATATTACCTGCCATGAATGGATGATAGTTCTGAGAGTGCTCCAGATTTTTCTTTGCTAGTAGTACTAGAGCTTGTTGAAGGCATACAAAATCTGTAATAGCTGAAAAATAAAGATAATAAATACAATTATGTGTCAATCCTTAGAGAGAGATAAATGGGGTTCAATGTCCTCTTGGCAAAAATTAGGTCAATTTGGGATTAACATATGGTTAAACTGTATATCAATAATTTGCTTGCACGTAGGGGTCTTTAGCAGTGTGAGGAAACCAGAGGACCCGGAGAAAACCCATGAGGTTGGACATATCTAATTCAAAATTGTAATTAACTTAAATGTAATTTTCAAGTGAGGATGTTAAACTTTAACATATATGAAATTGTATATACTATTTTTACTCAATATTATTACCCCGTATATATGTTTATAATATAATATTATATTGAGCCACTCACCTGTATTAAAATAAAAATTAATCTTGTGGCAATAATATCCACGTTTACCACTGCAGAAGTGAGTTGTTCTTTCCTTATTTCCAGTCATCACATGGAAGATAACATTGGCAAAGTCAATCACGTCAGAGTCAGTGTGTGTTGGATAACCGTTTTAGCGTTCGGGACGAACTTCTCCGAGGAAGGGGGCAATGTTACGGTCCAGGCGATTCCAGTCTTTCGCACGTCGTTTCCGACTGAGAGTGTCAAAAAATGAGACCAGCTCCCTTGTAGAGTTCACGCCCGAAACACATTTATATAACAATGTCATACATTACCATGTATCACAATATAATGCCCGATATCCACCTTGTCCTTTTCACATAATTATGTTTATAACATTCCCGTTAGGCCGATGAATTGACACAAATCAGTTAGCGAAACAAGCGACATCAAACAGCCGGCGGCCATGACACTTTAGCGCGGTCAAGGCTACAACGTCGTCATTGTTAGTAACGCTCGCATTGATTGGTCGACAACTGACGTCATCGGAATCCCCTTACAAATAGAAGCAGACGACAAGGAAATCCTCAGTGGACACTCGGTGCACTCGGGAAAGCTCCTTACGTAATTGGCAGCAATCCAGCTATTTTAAATTGGATATGGATCACCAAAAATGGTAAGGAATTAATATCCTAGCTTTGGCTGTGGTAATTTATCCATAACTGGTCTCCTATTTAAAGACTCATAGGTTGGTTTAACCTTGACTGGCTTGATCCAAGATAGGCCTAGATAGTTGTGGTTCACCCATTCCCCCAAGGCCAAGTCTTACCAATTCCTTATGTCACCAAATCTCCGATTTAATCCCGTCATATCCACCGGCCTGACAGGGCAAATGTATTTATTTACCTAATTCCTGTTTCCATACCTGGGAATTTATCCAAAGGGTTGGCGTCTCACCCAAATTATCTCCCCTTAATGCGATGTATCCCAATTATAAATTGATCCAAATAAAGATGTTCATTTTTATCTACACCCGAGTTTGTTAGTTCTTTCGATTGAAGTGCTAGGCTGGAACGAACCCCTAAAAAGTCTCTAATAAATGTTGAGACGCTACACCTCTCCTGCAAAAATTCCTGGATCCGCCTCTGAGACCTGCATTTGTAGTTCAACTAGGATGATTTGTAATGGGTCTGGACTCCCGACTTCAATACCCAGATAGATATTTCTGGTTCCATTCACAGATAGATCTCATCTCGGGATTTATCCATCCCGGTTCCAATGAAAGACTTCAATACCCAGATAGGTATTTCTGGTTCAATACACAGATAGATCACATCTCGGGATTTATGAATCCTGGTTCTAATGAAAGACACGGAAGTGTCGAGCTCACTGTCTTTCTGAATTCCTGCGTACGTAAAAGAAATGACAGCCGCAATTTAAATAAGTGTAGCCTATGAGAAGCGGACAGAAATAATTAAACGTGAAATTGACCCAGTTATTACAGCAATCTTATGTTTTAAACTAATTGTGTTGGTGAGACGTTAATTTCCTTTCCTTTTGATTTACATTTGACATGGGGGGGGGGGGGCTGAATGGTTAGCACGTGCGTGCTGTATCATACGGTCTGTCATTGAGTTAACTGGCGTGGTTTCGAATCCTCGGGTGTACGTGGCAAGGAGTAGGGTCGCCTGTCCACCCTCGTGGGTTTTCTCCGGGTCCTCCGGTTTCCTCCAACTGCTAAAGACCCCTACGCGCATGCGAATTATTAAAATAAAATTAAAGCATATGTTAGTCCCGAAATGACCTGGTTTGTGTCGAGTGGACGTTAAACCCCATTTCTCTCCCTCTCTCTCTCACATTTGACGAAAATGGGTCGTTTGTGAGTTGTTCGCGTTGAATATATCCAGGACTATATTTATAATACAACCGGAAATCCGGACTCCACCGGAAATGAACTTGAGTAAGAAGAGAGACTGGTTTTCCATTTGTAATTTTCCCGTATATTAAAGCAGATTTTGAACCTAGCGAAAGGACACCTTACCAGACAACGGATTATTTACTGTAGCAGAACATTACAAACAAAATAATGGTGAGTATTACTGTTACTTTTCAAGCCACATGACGTGTAAGACGAATGACGCGTAAACGATTTAAATTGTAGCCTATTACTGTTACTATTTAGCTATTTCCCCCAAAAAAAAATTTAAGTCAATGGATTTCAATGCAAATACCCCTATTAGAAAGCCCTTTGGCAAGCCATTCCAATGATACCAAAACAAACAAACAAAATAATGGTGAGTATTACTGTTACTATTCAAGCCACATGACGTGTAGACGAATGACGCATAAACGATTTAAATTGTAGCCTATTACTGTTACTATTTAGCTATGTGACAAAAAAAAAAAAATTAAAGTCAATGGATTTCAATCCAAATACCACTATTAGAAAGCCCTTTAGCAAGCCATTCCAATGACACCAAAATCACCTTTCTCTGATAAATAGCAAGAAAGTTACACCAATTTAAATGTTGCATAATTAGTCATTAACGCGTCAATTAATTTAGTAAGAAACAATAGGGCGCGCAAAATAACTTTGTGACCCAAGTTAACACCTCACTAAAAGTTTTTTTAACTTTCTAAATTATTGTTCAATTTCAATAGGGCGCGCAAAATAACTTTGTGACCCAAGTTAACACCTCACTAAAAGTTTTTTTAACTTTCTAAATTATTGTTCAATTTCAATGAACTTGGTATCATTGGAAAGCGTAACAAACGCCCTACAAGGCTAAATCATGACTAATTGCACAAGTATTTGTTGTGTCAAAAAAAATGCAATCAGCCAATGGGTGTGCGGGAAATGGCTCATGTGACCCAAAAAAACGTGAGCGTGTTCTATTTTGGGCACAACAGTACCGTTAAAAATCTTCGATTAACATCCATCAAAAGGCGTCTTTTCACAAATGTTCAATTAAAGCGGAAATTGCAAATTTTCTAAGAAAGTCAAAACGTAATTATTTCTATGTCTTTTGCTCAATAGGTTGTCAACTCACAATTATACGATCATAGGTGTCATTCTCACACTTAACAATCATTTACACAGGAAATAATAACACAATTACCTCCAGATTACCTACCTTGTTTTCTATTCTCCACCATGGAGTAGCTTTTTTCAAACGTTTGAAAATGAAGAGGAAAATGATATTTTTGCCAATTTCTCAGCTGTCAATAGTGAATTATAGGATTAATAGGATTATTCTTTAACAAGGTAGGACTGTTTATGGATACCATCTATTTTCAGGCTTTATTTTAATAAATTTTAAAAATATAACTTAAAAATTTGCAATCTCCACTTTAAGGAATCTCCATTACACATTAAAATACCCACAGAACCAAATAAGAATAAGCTTAGTTGGATTATTGAAGAGTATTAGCATCTATTTTACCGGCATGCCCCATGGCAAATTTGACATCACAAAATGGCTGAAATGCCATAGGCGAAAACTGCGCGTCTAAATACACTATTTGGGAGTCGATAGATTTGCCTGAAATTTGTCAAGTAGATTGTTGGATAACCAATGTAAAATATTATCATAGTTTTAAAAAAATATTTTACTTACCTTCTATTAAAACGGACTGGTTTCGATGACTTGAAAAATGTCATCTACATGTTATCTACATCATCAAAATGTGTGTAGACCCTCCCCCCAAAAATGTGAATAAACACCAAAACACCGCTTGTATGAGGGGGGTACCAACGCTGTAGTTCCCAGCAGTCCAAACGAAAACGAGGCTGCTGCCAAAGTTTGTACTGCCGAGAAATCAGAATTGTCACATAGCTAAACTATTCAAGTCACATGACCTGTAAAGAAATCGTCAGAAATGGAATGATTTAAATTGACCTGATTTAAATGGGATGTGGTCTACACAGCCTCCAACTTATAATGGTCAAAATTCGCTTTTGTCAAAACGACCAGAATATACTAATTTATTGAAAAAACAATATATTTGATGAAACATTTCAATCAATTGTTTTTCAAGTGCAATTTACATTCAGATTTCAGAAACGGCCAAAATTATTTCTCGATGTTTGTTTTTCTGCCTGTGCAATTTTTGTCTGTCTAGGAGCCACGGTGGCTCAGTGAGTAAGACATTGCCTCTCTACTCTGGAGGTCCCGTGTTAATCATGATTTTTTTCAGGGTGGTTTCTCCTTGTCACGGTATAAAAATATGTTGATAAACTCGTTCACAAGGTATTGTTTAATGTTAAAGACACAGAAAGTTTTCTTCGTCAGTATAATTTAGTGTACTGAGCAGGGGCTAGGTGAGAGGGTCGCAATGGCCTTCTTTGCATCATGGTTGTGAGTTTTTGTGCCCCTTTGAGTTTTTGGGCTGCTTTCGCAAATGGCAAAAATCATGCGGTTTCAATGCTGTTGTCAACATTAAATCCTACTCATAATGCTCAACCAGTGTCAAACATATACCGTGGGTTAGATATGCTACAAAATGACCCTAGCATGTTCCACACAACCCTATAATACTCGGCGGCACTGGGAGGGACCCTCCCCCTTCCCCGCACACACACATATAAATAAAATCTGTTTAAAACACAGATCCTATTTCGTTTTGTTTTTTATTAGTGTATGGCGTCAGCCAAGTCAGAGCTGAATAGTAGGACATTAAACCCCATTTCATTTTATATATTACAGGAAACCAATGATGTTAAAACATTTCATCAGTGTGTTGTATGTGATGATGTTTTTCAACATTATGATGATTTAGAAAAACACAATATAATACATGTTAAAGAAGAGAAAACTGATGATGTAGATGAATATTGTCATGTTAAAGAAGAGAAAACTGATGATGTAGATGAATATTGTCATGATAAAGAACAGAAAACTGATGATGTAGATGAATATTGTCATGTTAAAAAACAGAAAACTGATGATATTGAATCTGTTTATCAGTGTAAATTGTGTGATGAAGAATGTAATTTAGAAACAGATTTAGAAAAACACTGTGAAATACATGTTAGTCAACAAGGCCAAATAGGAGAAAGAGATTATTATGGTGATGTTTGTAGTCAATCTTTTAGTCAGAAACAGTCAAAAACTCAAACAGTAGAAAAAACTTATAAATGTGAAGTTTGTAGTAAATCATTTCCACAGAATAGTAATCTACAGAATCACATGAGAACGCATACAGGTGAAAAACCTTTTAAGTGTGATTTTTGTATTAAATCATTTACTCAGAATAGTAGTCTACAGTTACACATAAGAATTCATACAGGTGAAAAACCTTATAAATGTAATGTTTGTAGAAAATCATTTACTAATAGTAGTCATCTACAATCACACATAAGAATTCACACAGGTGAAAAACCTTACAAATGCGATGTTTGTAGTAAATCATTTCCACATAAATGTAGTCTACAGAAGCACATGAGAATTCATACTGGTGAAAAACCTTATAAATGTAATGTTTGTAGTAAATCATTTGCTCAGAATATTAATCTACAGTCACACATAAGAATTCATACTGGTGAAAAACCTTATAAATGTAATGTTTGTGGTCAATTATTCACACAATGTAGAAGCCTACAGTTACACATGAGAATTCATACAGGTGAAAAACCTTTTAAATGCAATGTTTGTAGTAAATCATTCACACAGAGTGGAAGTCTACAGAGACACATAAGAATACATACAGGTGAAAAACCTTATAAATGTGATGTTTGTAGTAAATCATTTGCACAGAATGGAAATCTTAAGGAACACATGAAAACTCATGCTGAAGTCAAACCTTATAAATGTGATGTTTGGAGTAAATCATTTACTAATAGTAGTCATCATCTACAGAGACATACCACAATTCACACTGGAGAAAAACTTTTTTAAATGTGATGTTTGTAGTAAATGATTTATAGATAATTGTGATGTCTGGTACTATTTTACCACTTGAATCAAGTATGAATGCGATTTTGTTAAAGGGATAATTGGGTCCGGCTTCCTATGCAGTCAAAAAGACACACCATTTATTGTGAACTTAAATTATTTTCTGTATGATTAATTAATAAAGTCCAGATTATCAGATTATCGGTTATTGAATTTTGCGAACTGTATATCTATAATTAAATGTTCATTACTATATAATTCCCTATCACAGATGTCCGACTGGTTTTTTGGGTAATAAAACGAAATCAGAGCGATAGTTTTCCCATCTTGTCAATATTAGCAGTCATGTGACATTCTCCCGTCATTTCTGTAACTAGAGATGAAAATAAAACCATTTATTGGGAAATTAACTGATGTTTTTGTAATCTTATGAATTAATAAAGTATGATCTATATTTTATGAGTTAACAGATGTCGACAACAATACAAAGTTTGCCATTTCTGTAACTAGAGATGAAAAAAAAAACATCTATTGTGAACTTAACTTATGTGTTCGTAATCTTATGAATTAATAAAGTATGATCTATATTTCATGAGTTATTAAATGTCGATAAAGATACAAATTATGTCGACATTTTGATACACCCAAATGGAAATCTGGTCGTACATTGCTGTCGCCCCGGTCTGTACGTTGGTCAGTCTGTCGTCCACAGTTTCTTGTAAACACTCTACAGACTACATTTAATTTTAATAATTTCCGTTAATTTATTGTCGGAACTATGCAGATATTTTCAACTTCATAGTTGTATTGTTAGCCACTGAATATAAACTCTCTAACTCAGACAGGATGGAAGCCTACAGAAAGCTGATTGGCCATTTATCCTCGATTTCGCAGGACCTGTGTACAAATGTATCGATCATTGGGCTTGTGTAGTGGCTCTAGGACGACCTGAACGAGGTGTATCATCAACATTGTGTGTTTGTTGGTACCGGTTCCACAGTCTGCTGACATTTTTTCATGACCATCTCCTAACAAATACGAGGAAACATGGCGAAGTAATCATAAACAAAGTGTCTATCTCTAAGTACTTTACTTGGTGTTCCAGGTCATCCGCAATAATATCAATGTTAACAATTTGAAGTCTAAAGCATAATCTGAGCCGTAGCCACGGCAAAATGGCAATATATAGGTTAGAAAAATCCCACTGGTAGTATGGGAAAGGTGGAAGTAGTCCCGGTTATCCTGACGGACACCTGTATTATACAGCGCAAAATCACAACACTACTTTAAAGCTATATTACCTAATGCTTTTAAAGTTATATTATCTTAGTCCCCTTCAAAGCTATATTACGTACGACACTTTAAAGTTATATTACCATAGCAGTCGAAAATATTCATTTTAAATCTAGCACTGTAATTTTTGTTGATAAGGTAAGATATGAACTGTTTTGTTATTTGGAGTGATCAGGTAGATACTCATCACCAAAAAAAATACCAATTAAATTTACCAACTATGTTTCAAACTTGACCCAAAAGCATGATAATAAAGGGTGCTGATGACAACAAAAGTCAAAATTTATCGGTTATGCCTGCATGGATTTTTTATCAAATTTGGCATGAACAATGAATTTAATCTATTTATCTCAATCCGTTACGGTCGAATAAAAAGAAAATTATAAGTTATGGAAATGTTGCTTTAAACATGGGACTGAATGACATAGTCTTTTGTCTTTTTCATTTTCATGTATTTTAAAGGGTTTAATGTTGGAATTTGGAATACTAGAGGCGCTCTAAACAACGTTCTCGGAATTGACAAATTTCAAAAGGGTTACCACAGGTTGTGCGACAGCATGTGCAGAATCCCTTCACACAGGCATCTGAGACAGCACGTCAGACAGTGGGAAGACACGGAAGATCCATCAGTACCGATACAGTACGCCGACGTCTCACCAGAGAGAACATCCATTGCCGTGGACCGATCCTCACCCCTCTCCATCGACGTGAACGTCTACAGTTTGCCCAACAACACCAGAACTGGCGACACAGGCAATGGAGAACTGTTCTGTTCAGAGATGAGAGTCGGTATTGCGTATCAACTGCAGATGGCAGGACCAGAATATGGCGTCAACGTGGTCAGCGTTATTCTGACCAATGTGTCATAGAACGAGGCTCGTGGGGAAGTCCAAGCATAATGGTTTGGGGTGGAATCGGCCTGAACTAGATATTAGGTCCTGTGGTGTTCCAAATTCTTGGTCCAGGGAGAGGAGGCGGCATCACAGCAGTGCGCTATATCGATAGAGCTCTCAGACCCCACGTCATACCACATTTCACAAGTCCTGGAAACACCGCCCTTGCCCACACTGACAGAGTTACTCGGGACTTTCTACAGCAGAACGGTGTCAACATTATGCAATGGCCAGCCCATAGTCCGGACTTAAACCCAATTAAACATAATGTCGTACCGAGACCAATGGATTGCCCAGGCTTTCCTGAGGGTGTGGTTCCAGGTGCCAATCAATCGTCTGGTCGACACGTGGTGGACACACCAGATACTGGTGTATAGACTGTGTACAGACTCTAAATCTTCTCGTAATGTCTTGGAATTGTGATGAGTTAATCACTAATGTGTCAACATACTGTTTACAAAAAAATGCTTTGATCCATTTAGTAAGTCGTTTTCTATAATGATTTGGTAAAAGTGCCTCTCTGATTTTGAAATCGTACTGAGTTTGGGTTTTTTTTTGGTTTTTTTGTTTTTTTTGGCTGTTTTTTTAGTATAGCTTTAAAGGAACTAAGGTAATATAGTTTTAATGTATCATATCTAAGGTAATATAGCTTTAAAGTAGCTATGGTAATACAGCTTTAAAGTAGCTAAGGTAATATAACTTTAAAGTAGCTATAACTCTGGACTCCTGACTTCAATATTTCTGGTTCGATACACAGATAGATCTCATCTCAGGATTTATCAATCCCGGTTCCAATGAAAGACTGAGAAGTGTAGTGTTGACTTGTCTTTCTGAATTCCCACCCCTGGTCATGTATGTAAAGGAAACAACAGCCGGAATTCAAATAAGTGTATCGTATGAGAAACTGTAAGCTGTGACAGCTGTGGCCACCTGTATTTCAATCTGGTTAAAACACGGATCCTATTTCGTTTCGTTTTTTATAGTTCAAAATTTTGTTTTACTTGTCTTTACTACACTAGGATCTGGAAGAGTTGTTATATAATAGGCGTTCTTATTGGTGTGAGGAATAAGCCAATGAAGTGGTCTGTTACAGCGAGCTTTAGGCATGTTTTGCATGGAACTGTGGGTAATCCACTAGTAACGTCAATGCTGCTTGGTTAATCAGATGTCTGACGTCATAGGGTCAACAGCTGCTCATATGTAAACGGGGTTTAAGACATAACTGAGTAGTGACCAAAGACTTCTCTTGGAGTATGTGCTTGGGATATCAAAGGGTGAGGTAGACCCATCATTTGCAGCCTGGAAAATTGGTCCACTAAACCATACAAGGTGGTTGACTTTGGCGATAAGTCTTATGAGTCTGTCGGTTAGAGGTTCTTACCCTCCTGAGCTATATGATGGACTTTACACGTATGTCACAACCAGCGGAAGTACACCTTTGACATGATTCAGAGAATCAAACTGCAATTTGAAGATATTCGCAGCTTTGCTTTCAACTACTTGAAGTATAATGCTTTCGGTATACTTCCAGAGAAAATGCTACACTCTGAAAAAAGTTCTGGTAATCAGAAAGGGGAAGTCAGTGAAGAAACCGTTAAAGAAAATGACCACAACTATCTTTAAAGCTACACATTGATCAGAACTAATTTATTTTCTTTTTTTTTAGTAATATTACATCTATAGTTTCATTCAGTTGGTTTTATCTTTGTTGGCTCTGTTCGATAGAGAGAAAAATAAAAAGGCCAAGATTATTTTAATTTTATTATTCTGATGTGTGAGTTACCTTTCCATTTATTTCTATGCTTTAATGTACTGAACTATAGGCCTACCAATACATGATGTAAACATAGGAAAAAATAAACATCAAATACAATGACTTCTTTTTTTTACAGGCACACAGGAAATATATTGAGTCATTCTATGAAGTTACAGGTAATTCCAACCAATACAGACCTGCAATTGTAGTTCAAACTTGGCCTAGTAGTTACGATGATTTGTAATACCTTTAAATAGCTTTAAAGTATCCGTGGCAATATAGCTGTAAAGTGTCTAAGATAATATAGCTTTAAAGTATCTATGGTAATATAGCTTTAAAGTGTCTAAGATAATATAGCTTTAATGTATCTAAGATAATTTAGCTTTAACGTATCTAGGGTAATATAGCTTTAAAGGATCAAGGGTAATATATCTTTAAATGAGCTACGGTAATATAGCGTTAAAGTGTCTAAGATAATATAGCTTTAATGTATCTAGGGTAATATAGCTTTAAAGGATCTAGGGTAATATATCTTTAAATGAGGTACGGTAATATAGCTTTAAAGTATCTAAGGTAATGCAGCTATAAAATATCTATGGTAATATAGCTTTAAAGTATCTAGGGTAATGCAGCTATAAAATATCTAAGGTAATATAGCTTTAAAGTATCTAAGGTAATGCAGCTATAAAATATCTATGGTAATATAACTTTAAAATATCTAGGGTAATATAGCTTTAAAGGATCTAAGGTAATATATCTTTAAATGCGGTAAGGTAATATAGCTTTAAAGTATCTAAGGTAATGCAGCTATAAAATATCTATGGTAATATAGCTTTAAAGTATCTAGGGTAATGCAGCTATAAAATATCTAAGGTAATATAGCTTTAAAGTATCTAAGGTAATGCAGCTATAAAATATCTATGGTAATATAGCTTTAAGATATCTAGGGTAATATAGCTTTAAATGATCTAAAGTAATATAGCTTTAAAGTATCTAGGGTAATATAGCTTTATATGGGCTAAAGTAATATAGCTTCTGTAGTAAATCAGCCAAATTCAATTGAAAAAATTCTTATTGACAAAAAAAGCCTAAATTTATTTGAAATATCTAGGGTAATATAACTTTAAAGTAGCTATTGCTCTGGACTCCCGACTTTAATATTTGAATTTCTGGTTCGATACACAGATAGATCTCATCTCAGGATTTATGATTATCAATCCCGGTTCCAGAAGTGTAGTGTTGACTTGTCTTTCTGAATTCCCACCTAGGTAAAAGAAATGACAACCTGAATCGAAATAAGTGTAGCGTATGAGAAACTGACACCTGTTTTTTAATTAAGAAATGGAATCAACCCAGGTATTGCTGCAATCATATCGACTCAGCCATTACCTCAATCATATGTCTTAAAATAATTGCAATATTATGTTGTTGTAACGTTAAATTTGTTTATGAGTTGTTCGCATTGAATAGA